AGGAATGCAGATTTTATATCTAAACCTTAGTACTGTAAGTCCATCAGGAACTTTGGAACAAATGCATTTTAAGGAACTCTTTCATGGTGTAAATTGCAAATGCATGCAAGGATTCATGCATTCTAGTTTCTTGTCTGCTGACACAAGACAAATTTATTAATGTTATACAAAATTATCAGTCACTTGTGTAAAAAAGAATTGGCTGGTGTTTTTTCTTAATATTTAGCTATTTCAAGGTTTTAATAGCATCTTACTTGTGCAGTAATATCCCAGCCATCTTCCAAACAAACCAATACAGAAGAACCATTTTCCAGGAGCTCAGAGATGATCACGCCCAACTGCATTATCCTGTGAAGCTATAAAGTAGTAAAAATAAGTAACATACTCAAGTATAAGATAAATTTCTAGATATCATCCATAAATAGAATCTTGTAATATTTAATATTAAAATATATATTCCAAAATCTACATATAGCACAGAGAAATGCATTGATGCAACAGATTAGAAAGCTATAAAGTGTAACAGTCTCAGGATTTTCATCTGACCTACAACAAAACTAAGTAAAGATTTGAAGACACTAACTTAAACTATTAAAACCAATGAGTACTGTAATAACATAGCTGTCATAAAAAGGAGAACGCGAACGACACAGTTGACAGATTTATTGTAGAGGAATTCCATCCTGGGCTTAACACGAAAATAATTTCCTGTGAAATGTTAAGGTTCCATAAAATCACTATGTACTTTGATGGGAGAACCCATGTAAGATATTTACAAGATAATATTTCTAATGCTCAATCTCATGGAAGCTGGAAATTAATGAATATAAAAACAACAACAACAATAATAAAAAAACAAACCACAAACCTAAAAACGAACACAGAAAAATCCTACTACAACAACAAAAAAACCAAACCACAAACCTAAAAACGAACACAGAAAAATCTTATTTCTATAATCTGGAAATAGTTTAGATAGATTAAATGGTGTTTCTTAGGCAGACTGCCTAAAACACATGGAAAGAAGATACATTAATTATTTGTATTCTAATATTCATTATGCAGTGATACTAAAATTCCTTGAGCAGGTGGGTTAGCTATTTTCTCTGGGAAGGGTTATTGACTTGAAGGAGATTGATTCAAACATGATAGGTATAAGCAGGTTAAAAGATTTAGGTGAATTTGTGCAATTTTATCTTACTATGAGACTTCCCATTATTATTACTAAAAGGAAAATCTACATGATATTTCTACCATTTTTGTCATACTGTGACAGCATTCTTGGAAAACAACATAATAGACAATATGTACGCAATTCAGCTTTTTACAGTAGACTGAAACTGCTCTTTGCAGAGCACTGAACACAATCCAACCAATAGCAGCAGTAGGAAAGATGACAGCCTGAAAGAAGGGAGAAAGCAGTATAGGAAAACAAATCAACAAAAGATGGCAAGAGATATCTAAGATCATTTATGCAAGAAAAAAAGTAAGTTCAGAAAGTACAGAAGGCACAGGAAAGTGATTCAGGGAGAACAAAATTAAATTGGAAAAAAAAAAAAAAAAGAGGAAAAACGATCAACCAAACAACAGCTAAACCCTAGAAAATTCATCCTTGTTTGGGGCAGTCTGATTTTTTCTTCTTAAAAAAAACCCCAATCCTATTAATATTACCATGGAAAATCTGATCAAAAACACTTAACTCCTCTGAACATTCACATAGCCATTACTTAGAAAATAAAAGAAACTAATTTTCCTGCAATTTTTAATAGGAAAATATTGAAAAGTGCACCAGTTTTTAAAACTAATCAGTTTGTTTATTGTTCTATACTTTCTTAGGCAGCAGAATAGAAGAAAGGCTGTTTTTTTGCCATCCTTAATGAAGAAACTCATATGCAGTCTGGCTATACAGATTCAATGCAAAAAAATGCAAAATACTATTTTTATCATTTGTGTTCAGAAGATAGGGCAGCACTTCAAATTTCTTCTTACGTATTCACATTCGTATAAAGAAATATTTGTCCTATACAGTGTTAAAATCAAAACTGTCTAACTTCTATTGCCCAGGAGAGGAAAGCTTAACACAATAAAAACACATTTCCAAAATGACAGATCTATGTTCTTTCACAAAAATAGTAAAAAATGTGTCAAATCAGTGATAAATTAACTTTATCACATAAGTCACATACGGCATGATTTAAACCACAGAAATGTGGTTTCAATGTCCCACAGCTAGTGTGTGACATTATGATCTAGTCCTGAGCAAAGAGTGATACACTATTACTCTTCCTCTCAAATATGCCAAAAGAGAATAACTCTAATGTTACAATCTCCCCTTGATCTCTGTGCTGCTGTAGGGACGTGTTTATTCCATCAAAGTGACATTCAATTAATTTATCTATACTTATCAACTTGCTCAACTACTCTGTGATTGAAAACGTTCACATGATGAGGGAGTCAAATCTTCAAGCTGTTCCCACTTCTCCCCTTCCCGAAGAACGTGGTGGCCAGACACAGCAATGACCAGCTCCTATGCTCCCTAAGGAGTGATCACACCTCAAGCGAAGAAGTTAAGCCACTTGTTGCACTGTAGCACATTTCAACCAGGAGTACATTTTTTGATGCATAACTACTGAAATGACTGTGTTACTCACATGTCTCTCCTCCTTAAGAAATGAGCATAAAAGTCTATTCTGTTTTCTATGATTAACTGCATTTGAGAAGAATATATTCAGCAGAGGATTCCAAACATAACATGCAACTGTTAAAAAACATTCACTATAATTAAAATGGTTTTAGATTTACAAAGAGCTGACTTTCCCACATTCTTCTTAATTTGAATTCTGCAAAGTTCCTTTCACAGTCTTGCCTTTGTTTGGTTAATCTTTATGTAAGGGAATATAGGATAGGGAAGTAAAGGAACTGATTCAGAGAGAACAGATTAACACACACACACAATCCCCTCTCCCCTGCAAACACTTCCCCATATCCCACAACAGATAACAGATAATAGCTTATTTGTTAAATACTTGTGCATTTGGAAATTCAGGGTGGGAACACATATGAAGAGTAGAATATCAGTTTTAAAATCAAAAGGCTCATTTATTGTTCTATACTTTTTCCTGATTTCTAAAATATATAAAATAAGAAATAGCAGTTAAAACAAAGACCATAAATTTATACAGGCAGAAAAAATGGTCATCTCTACTTGGTCATGTTATAAACCATAAATTATGTTATGAAAAATGCTTCCCACATTTGTAAATGTTATGATTCTATTAAAATAATAATGCATATGTAATGACAGAATTGATAGTACACAAAATAATTACAATGAACAAAGAAAAACAGCTGGTTAGAACACAATAGTTCTCTGTCAGAAGAGCCTGAAATTTATTTTGTGTAAGCAGTACTGCATATAGATTATTAGAAGTACCTGTCATATAAATTACCTGTGGGAACCACTCTGACTCCCCAAGTGCTTTAAGGAATGTTGCCTCAGAATCCGTAGGAATAGTGCTGGGAACACAAGCTCTCATCAGCTTTTTAAAGCTTGCCTTTGTCTGTCGGATGTCACTGAATTCAACAGGAACAAATTCACAATTCAAAGCAAAATCAAGTTTGAATCCCTGTATGAAAAGGACAACAGCAGATGTAATTTAAAAGGGAAACATATTTTTCACTGACAGTCTCATCAAATTTCTAAGTTTTCCCTACTTTGTTACTAAATATTTCAATTCCTAATTAAAAATCTGTTTAGTTAAACACCTGCCCAGGATAATAAAAATCCTTACAACACTTGCAAAATGTACCATAATAAAGTACCCATCTACTACTCATAACAGCAGAATGTACTGCATGGCAGTCATATTTTAAATAATAATAATTATAATAAAAATAGTAGTAAAAAAACCCCAAAGTTGAGTGATAAATCTGTTGAGTTCTTTATATACAACATCATGTGCTTCTTTCAATATTTTTAAAGCAAATTCACAATAAATAAATAGAAATTAAAATAACTGTATAGATGACATACCAACAGTCCAGGACAGATTCTAGTAGTTCAATAAAGCAGAAAAAAAGTAACCCCAAATCCAAAAAGAACCCCCAAAACTGCAAACTAGCTGACTCATCTAAGCAGTCACTGCACATTGAGACAGTTTGTCTAAAGTACCTAGTTCAACACAGAACAGCAGTCAGGGAATACCTGATATAATTTCCAAGAGGTACGTGAGGTTTTTCTAGCAGAATTCTTCATGTTTTGTTTTACTTACTGCATTTAGAAAATGAGCAATAAGAGAGTACAACTGAATTAAGACATCAAGTTAGCTAACTGGAAAAAAAAAGAACTATGATGAAAAGGATAATATGGAGAACATTACTAGGAAAAACAATTCTCATGTATGAAGCATCACTGAAGATCTTCACAGCAAACTTTGTCAGTTTTCTTCAGAAATTGCTCTTTCATGGAATTAAACTTGGCCTGCAAATAATCTTCATTAAGCTGCTTCATAGGATGCCAAGTGAAAATGTAGGAAAGTGAAAGCCCAGATTTAGTTCTGTTTATATTTTAGCACGGTTCAAAAATAAATTCAATAGTTCAACTAGCAAACTTGCTTTTTTAGAATGCTAAGTTGTAATAATGTATGATAAAAGCAATTGAGAAAAGTAGCACAACTTCCTTAAAATGTTATATATTTCTGTTTGTATAATCAATTTATGTGACATGATATTTTGCAGAATAAAGCAGGTCCTTATAGGAATCAACACCAGTAATGCATGCTCTGCCAAGCCCTTACAAAGCCAGCACAAATTTCAAGTTAGCAGGATGCTAACAAAAGCTAGGAAAATACTTCACAATCAAAAATCAACAAAATTTCTTTATACAAAACCAAAAGTTGAATTGATCTTATAGACTAGATGCAAACCAATGAGAGAAGGTTCGAAACAATCACTTAACCACTATGCAATTTTATTCTTACATTTGCTAACACAATACACTTCTTAGAAATGCCCAGAGATGACTCATCTTCTGCAAAATTGTATTATTAAACAAAACAAACAAAAAGTGAAAAACCCGTAAGGTCTAAGCCAGCAAGGAAATCATCCAGCATAATATAAGGATCCTTGAAGTACTGATTTTTAAACCATTTCCAAATTATATACATCGTACTGGACTTCAGACTATTTAATGTTGATTTTGTCCAATGCTTGCTGTTTGTATATCCAATAGTCAGCTCTTTTCATATTCTGCATCATAATACACACCTGTATGGTAATATATTAAAAATGCTTTAATCTATACCAAGCACTAACATATTACCCCCATCTAGTTTGTGACTGCTGATATGTTAAACAACTTCCATTTTCTGCCCAAGTTGTCTAAAGGGTCACTTCAAAGCAGCAGACTAAAGATGTTTCTACTACATATCTTTAGATGCATGATTGAACTCTTCATTTATCATTTATTAAGATATCAAACAAATAGAAACGTGAATAATTGTTACTATTGGATTATGGCAATTCAATCTATGTGATTTTTTTCTTTTCCATTACTCTTCCTGTGTTCCTTTTCATTAAGTGTCTACTCTGCCAGAGCCTTTTGGGGGTTCCAGTTATGAAAGAAGACTTAACAAGATGAAAAATTGATATGAATAGACCTGTTTGAATACTTTGGGAAGAATGTTCTCCAGAAAAGCAAATGAAAATCCCAACTCAATAAAACTGAAAAATTTTGCAGGAAAATAAACAGTTTTCTTACTGTTCAAAAGAACAGTTTGTTCTAATAATGATAAATGATGATTACTTTCAAAATTTCTCTTTCGTCTTTTACGTTATATTCTTATGCTTTATTATATTAAATCAGAACACTTTGATTATAGATATTTCTGGATATTTCTACAAATTATTGTTATGCTACTTACATTAGAAAGTGACAGAATGTCAAATGAAATCTAACTAATTAAAAATGACTACTTTGTGTACCAATGTGTAATGAAGAAACCAAAAGGAAAGTGAATTTGCAAACCAATTATAAAAGACAAAGTAAAAATGGAATAAGAATACCTGTTATATAACCATCATTTAAAAATACAACTGAAAATACAAGTAAGATGTGAAAGAGCATTTGAAATTACAAAGGAAAGTCAAAATAGAAACAAAATTTGCAAAGAATTTTGGTTCATCATTCTGATACAGCATGACTCTTCCATCTCCTGATATAACATAATTTCAGAAAGAATTGAATACTGATGTATTTTCCTACTAGCAATAACTGCTTTTGGAAGTTATGTATTTCAAAAAGTACATAATACTTTATGTATGCTCACATTCTGAATAATAAATTAGAAAACAATTGATTTTTCAATCTTTGAACGCAGAGATTTAAAAAACCCTAATCCTCAAACATTTTCTGAAAAAAAGTAAAGCTACCAAGAATTAATGCAGAGGATACCTGTTCCTTAAACAACTGCATCTAAAATATTAAAATCTATCCAAAGAGGTGTACAAAACAGTAGACATCATGGTCCTCTTCATGTAATCAAATCAGGGTGGGCAGACTTCTGGGTTGGCCTTATTCACATGAATTTGGTTTCATGTGAGTTTAAGTGCTGCCCACAGTAACAAAGGTTTTCTTCTCTGGTAATCGCTTTCCTGACTAACAACATTCTGTTTGCTTCATAACATATTTCAACACACCAGGAAAAATAAAATTGCACTTTAAATTAAATTACCAAATAAGTCTGTTTCATGTTTCCCAAAATAGAAATCACTGAGATGACGACTCAGCTGAACATTGTATGAGTAGTCAGTAGAATCAGAGTACTGTAGTATGTATTTAGGTGTAATTAAGCCTGGCTCTGAAAGCAGTAACTGACAGATACACAACTCCAGCACTTCCCTTGGAATAGCTCTGAACAGTCTCTGTAAGGGGCAGCAAGCTCCGCTGCTGCTACACCAGCCTCACTCCATTTGCCTACAGTCCCCCCATTCATAGAATCATAGAATCGTTAAGGTTGGAAAAGACCCTTAAGATCATCGAGTCCAACCGCTAACCTAGCGCTGCCAAGTCCATCTGTACCATGTCCTCGAGCACCACATCTATCTGTTCTTTAAATACCTCTAGGGATGGAGACTCAACCACTTCCCTGGGCAGCCTGTTCCAATGCTTGACCACCCTTTCGGTGAAGAAGTTTTTCCTAATATCTAACCTAAACCTCCCCTGGCGCAGCTTGAAGCCGTTTCCTCTCGTCCTATCACTCGTTACTAGGGAATTCATCTGTATCCCAGCAGCTACACTGAGCAGAGCCAAACTCTGCTGCCCTTGCTCCTTGCAAAGCCAATGCAGGGAGACAGCTGAGACAGTGAAGAGGTGGTGACTTCCGAATATGAAGGCTTTGCTGGATGCTCTGTTGCCTAGCTATGTATTTTCTTCCTAGCCTTGTCTTTCCCAGTTTGAATGCTCTTACCTTGTACAAAAGCTGTTCCATTCCTCTAGTCATGTTACCCATCTTTGTATCTCTTACCTGTACTACACATCAGCCCTTGACCAAAAGTGACAAATAGGGTTCTACTTACAGAACTTTTGTGAGTTTAAGCCTGATCTTTAACTGCTCTTTAAGATAATTTAGTATATTTTAATTTATGTTAACTTTGTTGTATTATATAACCAGAGAGCTTGATTTTCATCCTCCCCAGCCCCCGCTGAGTTACACAGCATTAATTGTTATTCTGTGTATAGGAATAATCCTCGTAAGAGTTTACACCTTTAGGAGAGTTATCCATTCACCTTATCTAGAATATTATTTACTGTTTTGTAACAACATTAGGGTTATTAAACTCAAGCCAAATAAAAACTACGTTAACATTAAAAAAAAAAAAATTGCCATTACCCGTAACTGAGATTTTTCTCCAAATATATAGAGGGCTGCTTGCCGTCTCAAAAGCTGACTTTGCAGAAAAGTGCTGCTACTGTAGGAAGTGGTGTTATCTTTCCCTGCAAGTCTCGCACCAACATCAATGAATGGAGTCTGAGTGTTGATAAATCGGTTGCTTGAACGAAGACTCGCCCATACACCTTCATAAAGATGAAAAATATTTAAAATCCTCTTTGCGTGAGGCACTGGAGATCAGAATTATTAAGGCATATGCTAAAACATAATTTGGAAAGTAGAATGCTTAAACATGTCATTTGCATCCCTCATAGGACATAATTAACAGCACGTACCGGAAAGAAGTATTTTCATAACAAAAATTGTCAAAAGCATCCTACCGCATTGTCATTTAACCTCAGATACTAACCAAACTCTGCATGGTGCTTTCTATTGTAGAGAAAATGGTCGCTATGATATCAGTAATACAATGATAAAATGAATCACAACTTGCAAGTAATTAACGTCCATTTAAGTCTATGGAAATGAAATTGCTAGTGTTCTTTTCAGAAGTAGGGACAAAAATTTGATGTATTTCCTTGTCAAAGGCATAATATTTTGGAAGTCTAACTAGTAAGAATATTATCTAATTACTTTCTTCAAAAACAGAAATAGTATTACTTAAAATTCCCTGTTACCTAGAATTCTCATGTTCCTTTCACCTTACACAATGTAATAGTATCAACCATATCGTATCATAATGAAAATGTATATAAGGATGATCAATTCAAATATTACATTTCAGGATAAAGTATTCCATATTTACTCTGACATGCCATGATTAAAATGCAGAATGCCATGAATTTTAGTTTTTAATTGTCCATGTCTAATGGACAATTAGAAATGACAATGAATTTAAGGAAGTTCTTTTTTTAATCATGTGTTTCATGACTATATTCTAGCAAACGTGACTATGGTAAAGTTGTGTGAGCAGAGAGAAGGATGCCTAGAAGATCACAGTCTTACAGTTTTAACCTGGCAGTAAGATCACCATTACTCTGGCAGCAGGGCATGGTACACAAATCCCAAAGCTAGCAACAACATGAGCTTGAAACAGTGCAGTGTGACGTGGAACCACGGACTTGCATCTGAAAGCAGCACAGCAATATTTGAATGGCATTGTACCAACCTAATAACCTCTGCCTCTCAACAGCATTTTTAGTTTGCATATTGTGCCTTGCTGATGCAGCTATACTGTCATTCCCAGAGGAGGAAATTCCTACAGCACACAGACACGCTCTGATCTGATCATGCTTAAGTAAATTTTGTGATTTCAACATAAGATAAAGTAGTGATAAACCAGATTGCCAAGGCCTGTTTAGGACCAGCAGAAGAAAAGACAAGTAGTAAATACTTTCCTGTTTTTTGTCCCTTAGTTAATAACAATAATTTTGTGAGATTGTTTTTGTGTGTCCAATGTGAGGTATGTGAAAGGTACTTGATTTTCAGAATATAAATAGCACTACTTGACAATCAAATCCCTTAAAGTATACTAAATTTGGCATTCAAATGGCAGTGTGAAATTCTTTAACCCAATATGCAGTAAATCAGATTATCAGAAGAGACTCTTGTCCATAAATCTGTGAAGCAAGATATTCAAAAGAGGCACCAGAAATACCTCATAGTAGTAGAAATTTAGACAAACAGTACCAAAAAGCCCCTCCAGTCCCTTCAGTAAAATCCAATAATATGCATAGTTAACATTTCTTGCATCAAAGAAAAAAGCTGCAGACAACAGGAAAATTCCACTGAGATAGCTCAACCAGCAAAATAATTTTATTCTATTTTTTAGAAGCAGGATTATGTTTCTATTAAAGAATAATTCTGTACAGTAATCCTCAACAGGGACTCGTCTGTACAGTTTAGCTTGTCTGCCTGTCTGGCTGCTAGTCTTAAACGTCAGCAAACGAATAGGAGTAACAGAGAATGCTTGGCTAGGAACTTATGTATTGGTAACAGTTCTAAACAGTTTCCACTTCAAAGACAGCCAGTTTTATAAAATACGTCACACAGTAAAGTAGTACTTTTAGTATAAACTTTTGTTCCACACCTGAACTATTACAGATGAAATAATAAAAACTTCAGCAAGCAGAAATCACAGCAAGTGTTTAATAAGAGAAATAATTTCTTGTTCATTTGGTATGAAAAAATGCTAGCTCCAACACAGACAACTGTCCCCAAAGATGATATAGACAAAAATACACAGTCACACTTTCTAACATTTTACAAATGCAGGGCATCATTAGTGCCTGTAGAACATCAACAGGAACAAAACTGGTTACATGCAGATGAACATGTTTCCCAGTGATGGATAACAGTGATTAAAAGACACAATTATATTTGTATTATACTTTTATTCTAATTTTGCCCAGTATTTTTTGCCTTATTTTTTGTTAGCAGTATCTACCTTTCATTATTTGGCATATATCATATTATTATGACTTTCTAATTTGGCAGAAATCAATTTTTCCATGTTCACTAACATGAACAATAATTTTGGAAAGAAAGTTCATTGACTATATAACAGTATTTCTTAGCTATTTTACTAAAGCAGTAGGAGTACTAAATGCTCTTTTGCAGAATTAATTTTCTTCTGTTTAAAAGTTTCACACGGAAAATCTTCTACATATTGTTCCGCATTAGATCATAACATTATCAAAGAATAACATGGTAGAAGTGTATGGCTAATCACTGTCACTGCATCATACATTCAATGGCCAAAAAAACCCAAAACAAAACAAAACCACAACACTGAACTAAAAAAACCAAGATTTTGTTAATGCAGAATCAAGGCTTTCTGTCAGTATCGCTTTAGCGTGTATTAAGATATTGCAGTAGTTATGGAGATGGTAGAAAAGAACGTGCTTTCAGGACACAGTATACAGTACCTTGATGGACTCTTCCCTTAGTTGCTGGTTTGGAATTTGAATGAGTGAAACATTTATCTCTGTACCCAAGCACTGGTAGATAACAGTTAAGACAGAAGGAGGAGGAATGGAATGCACATTGCAGCGAGACACATTGCCGGAGAAAAGAAAAGGGTTACTTATTAATTTCCAAAGATCTAGTATATATTGAATTTCTTTATAGTACATGATTTATCAGACAGCACAAATCTTAGTCATCACAAGACAAAACATCAATCAAGCCAGAAAACCAATATAAAATGGGAAGGAAGTACCCATTTATCAAAAAGGAGTAACTTTCATTGTCATTGCAATAGTTTCAAACATGTAGCACAGCCATCATGTGTTTTTCCCTAATTATAATACCAAAGGAAATGTAACGATTAAATAATTCTGCTGAATACTTTATTGAAAGCTTCTATCCATCTGAAAGTTAGCTTAATTAACAATCCCAAATCTTAGTGCTTTTCTAAAAAACTGTTTTAGTCTATTTTAGGGACATAATTTGATGGACCTCAAAATCAAATCGGAGTGCAAGATGTTAGTTCTATAAACCTACAAACAATGTTACAGGATCGTGTAAAAGTATATAATTTAGAAAACATGTACTATCTATCACACAAAGAGATTTCCTCCCCCCTTGCAAAAATTCTCATTTTCAGTGGGAGCCTTATATGCTTATCAGAGGGTGTGTTTTTGGCTCAAAACCCACATCAACACAAGCAACTTCTTTTAATACAAATATTCTATTAAAACATATTCAAAGTATTAATGTCTCCTGCTTTTAAAATAAATGTCTGAGCTGAGTCTGTATCTATTAATGATAAATATCCTAGTATTTTTCCAACAGCAGCAAATCATACTGAGAAAACATTTTATTCTACTAAATTACACAACAATGCCAGGTAAGAAGTGCTGTTCTGTAGAACCATGCCATACTTATAAAGTAATATAAGAAGAAAAAGTATGTATTTTGAGTGAACTTACAGTTCCTATAAAAGATATCACCCAAGCTATCGCCAAAAAAAAAAGTCCAAGAATGAAAATATATTATGAAATATAAGTATTTGGCCAAATATTTCAGATCAGAAACAACGTAACTGGGCTTTAGGCAACTACTTTGTTACAATGTTCCAGATAAAGTAAATAACCATACCTGACACGGACACAAATATTCAGGACAACTGATGAGTATTCAGAACAATGATGATACTTAAAAATGAGAAATACTATTCAAGCACTGGCACATATCTTTTAACTTAAATTTTAAATGGATGTGTATTAAAAATACACTGTCTGGCACAAAAAATAGAAAATGTCATTTTCAATTGGTGTATCATAGCTGAACCTGGCTTTTGAGCCCTGGCATGCGTGAGAATAAAAACAAGGAAAGAAAGAGGGATCCAGAATCAAACCCACAAAAATACTGCTATTGTATTTTGTACAGTGTAGTGCACAATCCATAGCTGCTTGCTATGAAAAAGTAACTAGCTAACCTCATTGTCTTTTTTTTTCCTTTTTCTTTTTTTTTGCTTTATGAGTTATTCTTAGGAATATGAAGGAGAAAGAAATCACAATTTTTACACTGCCTGCATAAAATAAGTCTTTTTTTTTTTTTTTTTTTTCAGCTGACCAAAACCTTGTATTTTTGGTCCTGCATGCAGCCTTGTGACACTACTTCACGTGTGAAATATAACTAGCTGTAAAAAGGTAGTAAAAAACTTTGCAATAATAAATCACATGAATCAATTTATTTGAGAACAACAATTTTAGAGTTTCTCTATACTTTGTGTATTTTAGAGTTTCTTCTGAAAGAATTCTGTTAGCTAATCCAAAAAACCTAGTCTTTACTTCTCTACAGGGAGATATTCCCTTTCCCTGTTCTCTCTTACCCTGTCAACTTCTCACCTTCACTAGGGCTCCCATTGTACTTGTCAAACATTCTTATGTTTCAGCAAAGTCCTCACGTATCCTGAACTGTGAATAGACTGCAGATACTAGGCTGTAATTACACCTTTCAGATATGTAGAGCAGGTGTGGCATCAATCCAGCAAGACACAAGATAACTTCTCTGCCCTCTTCCTGATTACTGCTGAAATTTAGCCAAAAGACTTCAACGTCCAACAAAACAACACGTCTGTGACCTAATACTGCCTTGAGACTCCTTTTTTCTTCACTGAGTAGCAACAAACTCATCCTATCACGCTTACCACAAACTCCAACCCCAGAAACCAGCGATAGTTATTTCAGTAATCCTTTTATCTTCAAAAGACAACTTCCATACAGTCAGCCAGCAAGCTTTCCCCTACTTATCTGGAGCACCTTCACTGCCCCTCAACACCACGTCGCTGTTGGCACTTTTGTCCCAAAACAAGAGGATGGAATACAACCAAATGTCTGCTGTCAGCTACCCAGCATTTTCACTATTTCAGTACAAAGTCAAGCTGGGCACAGCCACCAATTCATCTAACAATTCCAGACACTATTAACTCCTGTTCTCTTAGGTCCCTAGCCACTTTACCTATCCAATTAAAATCACTATGTTTTTTTCATCTCCATGTACTAGAATAACAACACAGTGAGCAGAGAGCATAAACAGAACTTTTAGATATGAAATATGCATATACTATGGTTAATGAAAAGGCACAGAATTTTCCATTCTTTGGTGATCACCATTTAACTGCCCTTTCTCGCCTCCCTTCTGCTACAATTCTCACATAACTTCTCTACACAGCTCTGAGTATTTTCCTTTCTTCTTTCCTTTCTCCCTCCCTCCTGCTTTTTTTCCTTCCTTCCTTTCTCTATTCCTGTCCCTCTCTTTTGAAAGTTTTTCTCTACAAAATTGTGTTATTCTTCCCCATATGAAGCCAGTTTTTCTATCACACAATAATTTAGGTTGGAATGGACCTCAGCAGGTCAAAGTAGGTCTAACTAATTTTAGATGAGGTATCTTACAGCCTTTCTCACTCCCAGCTCTGAAAATATGACTGCATTTGCTGTAACATGGTTAATGCACTGCTCACAAAGTGGAAGGAGTCAAAAAAGAAGAAAAGTAACTTTTAGATGCTTAGAAATAATTGTAAGAGCATCCTTCAGGGCTAAAAGGTAATAAATGAAATATAAAATGCTCCCTTTTGGAAAACAGATTCATCCCTATCCCAACAAACATATATTTAAGGAATTTGATGCACTAATTTATGCATGTATTGCACATTAAAAAATCATAACAATTTCATCAGACTAGAAGAGTAAAAGTAGTTGGAATCCACTTCACAGAATGAAAGCTTCTTGTAGAAATGACACTGACGAGCCCTTGTACCTAAGAATAACTATTTCCAAAGAACGCCCTGTATCTCCTTATTTATTACAGCCTGGCCACATAACTCCCTCCTTTACTGAGTAAAATTATTCAGATAGATTATTTGTAACTTTATGAAGCACCAGCTAATCTTCAGCCAAATGCTGGAATGATCTGTAATTGGAGATTCTGAAGTGCATTCAATCCTAATATTAAATATGCATTTTCAGGCCATACATTTTAATCGAATTAAAAATATGGATGAATCACAAAGTATTTAGAAACATAATTCATAACTGAGTGCTTAATTTTCCACTAATTTCCAACATGAAACGAGCTTTATTTCAATGGTAAGTAAAGGACTTAAACAGAAATTAATACTTAAATAATGTTATGGACTGAGGCTAACCTGTAATTTCTATTTTATTGTTTCACAGTGTAATGAATCGGTAAGCAGTGTAATTATTTTTATTTCACTAACATTTTGTTATCATTTATTATTTCAAATATTAGACTTTGAGCTAGTCTTACTAACCTCCTCGAGCAAAGCTATTGGATAGATTTACATCCAAATGTCCTGGCACTACCTGCTTAAACACAGTAGACATTCTTGAAGCCCTCCTTTCAGTGCCTGAAGTCAGCCAAAAAAAGAATAGAAGATTAAGAAACTACAGTGTTACTCGGACTAACACTTAACATAACTGATAAAAATGCCCTTCTTCACACAATACAGCTTATTCTTGCCAATTTTGTACTTCAGATTTTTTAAGACACATGTATACATTGGCAACAGCATGGAGATGTTAGATACAGCTAAGCAATCAACATATTTCACAAAAAATGAAGCAAAGCATGCACACTTTGGGAACTGTGTTATTTTATAAGAAAAGCCACTGTTTGGCTATATTAGGCCAATTACCACCAACTGAATAAGACAAGACAGACACAATTTCAAGTCATGTACTCCTCTTTCTAAGACACTGGGGTTACCTTCACATAAACCTTACTAGGTTTCATCACAAAATAACTGAAATAAAACATAGATTAATTTCTTCATGATTCCACATATGCATAACTCAAATAGTGTATTTTGAAAGTTTTCACTGCAAGTAAAGCTCTACTTGGAACTGACATTAAAAGCTCATTATGAGTATGTAATACATATGAAAATGCCTATATACCTTCCATTGCTGCTGTAGCTAAATAGTGCATCTGTTCAGCTAGAATTTGAGTTTGCAATCTTGTATTTTCTCATGATATGAAACAGAGTAGTATTTTGCATTCTCTTCAATTTGGCAGTCTCTTATTCAATATACAGATTTCAATATGCTCAATTTGTTATAAAAGACTTCAAAGTGGATCTTTGCTTTTGATTCCGTTATATAATGTAATTGTTGCATTTGATATTAAAAAAAAAAAACAAAAACTGGAAAGATTTGGCATCTTGATATTCTGGAGAACTCTATTTTATTTGTTCCAGAGTTGCAATAAATTACAAATGCCTCAAGACTGGCCCATCATACTCAAGTGAATTTCATCAAAAACTATGACCCACAGGTAATCATTTACTGTCAGATTAAGAATACTGAAAAATATTTTGGGAAAGATTATAAACATCATTTACATACGGAAAACACATTCACTGAAACTAAGAGTGATAAGCTATCTGGAAAGTGCAACAAAAAAGAAACAACAGAATTCATATGGGGCAAATTGAACTAACACCAAATCAGAGAAAACTCATTTCTCAACTTAACCATGGAAAAACACTATACAAAACCGATTTTACCTGGAGATAGAGCAATTGTTGGTCTAACAGTGAGAGTATTACTGCCACTCATTTTGCAGTGGACGGATATCACATTCAGTACGGCCTGTAGGTATTTTTCTTGTTCTATACTGCTTGAAGATTCTAAGGAAGCAGGAGCTAGAGTCACAAGAAGAATGGAATGCATTAAAATACAAGTACATTTATAAATACAAAGAATACCAAAATAAAAAGCTTACTACGTAAAGCAGAGCACTGAAAGTGTCATGGTTTGTCTATCAAAGGTTCAAAAAGCCATTCCTTTGATGACAAAGAATGCTCAGATGTTCATCACCTGGCTGCAGAGCAGCACCCAGCAATATTCTCTTTCATTCCACTGGACAAAGCTAAACTACTGAAAGTCTGTTACCCCATGGTTACTACTTAAAACATTCATCATTAACCAGTGATCAATACAAACAGAATGGAGATGATGTAGTTTTCCCTTCACTCTCTGAACAAAAAGTAACATTTCTAAGTTTGTGCTACTTGTCAGCAAATTTCAGCCTTTTAAAAAAATGTGTAGAGAACAGATAGAACTGTGTCTTTAACAAAAGTAAGTTAAAACCATATTCAACCAGCTCTTCCTCATTCCAGTAAAGGAAGTTTACTTACCTATAACTGGAGGTTCCTTAGGTTCCTTGAGATATATTGCTCATTTACTGAAAGTATACATATATCAAAAGACACCAGTGTTCATGCACTCTGCTGCATTTAGAGACATCAGTGGACACAATCTTCATATCCTTCAAGTACCCTACCCCCAGAATCTGACCTTTTTAATGGAATAAAGAAGAGAGGAAAGGGGATGGACAGTGCATGCACACCTGGATAACACACATCAAGGCATCTCCACTTATGAAAAGTAACGTTCCTGTTCCCTAGTGACAGTCCACCTGTTCCTTCACCAGTAGGTAACTTCAGAAAGTGTCTTCCCACATGCTTAGGTAACTTGTAGGAGGCAAGGCTGCACTGTTGTGAGAATCACAATTCCTTCTCCGAAAACCTCTGAATAATCCTTTACGTGCATGGAGTTTCAGATGACTACGCTAACAGATCTCAGAAACAGAATCATTGTCCAGTTGTTACTGATGTTGCTTAAGTTGCTGGAGACATGGAGAAGGACCATTTCAGACAGAGAGAAGCAGCGGCGAAAGACTGGATGAAAGCAAAGCCAGAGAGGAAACAGACGCAGTTTAAAAACAGAGAGCGGAGTAAAAAAAAAACAAGATGAGAAGGTATGATGCTCTGACAAAGTACTGAAGTTAAACAGACAGTCCACTTAAGACAATCTTAAGACTTAAAAAAGTTAAGAAACCAATAATAAAAAAACAGAATCAAGGAAAAAAAACCCAAGAATAAGAAAAGCAACAACAACAAAAAAATCTTAACCAGAAAAACTCCACCCATTTGTGTCCAGGTGCAAGGACTTAAAGGAAGGGAAGGAGATGAAGGTCAGGTCCTGGGCCATACTATGATGACAAAAAATTCTTGCCAATTTTGTACTTCAGATTTTTTAAGACACCTGTATACATTGGCAACAGCATGGAGATGTTAGATACAGCTAAGCAATCAACATATAGGCGATTGTGACGGTAACAGCGAGCAACTCTCTGCAGACTGCTGTCTTGAACAGACTGAGGTACTACCAGAAGCCCAGGATAACTGTATTGATAAAAATGAGTCAGATTTTTTTCAAATGCCAAACAAAATTTTTTGAATTCTAGTTTATTGCAGCCACCTGTGGACTCACTATAGGACAAAAATGTCATAGCTGCTTAAGCCAGGATTTGGTATCTTGACCACAAGAGCCAAGATTTGGAATAAGATAGAAAGAGTCAAAGAATTTGACTGAGCACATTTTGACAAACCATAATGGTAATTTATAAATAGTTTTCTCCAGTGCTGATCCAATCAGATTCTATGCTGGAGACTACTAGACAGTAACCTAATTAACTGGAGACGGCAAAAGAAATTTCAAGATAGACCTGTTAAAATTAGTATCTAAATAGCCCTGTTAAAATTAGTGTCTGAATTGGAAGCACAATTAGGAAGTGAATAGAAAATGTATGTGCAGGAAACATCATGCTGTTTCGCTCTGACAAAGTGGAACAAGCCTGAAGAAAAACATTATTTTCTCTTCAACTCCTAAGCAGGGTTTACCCATCCTGAAATCCACTTGAATGATCTCTGGGTCTCCTAGTCCTTGAAGCAATGCCTCAAAAAGTCAATTTAGATCTTAATAATTTAGTTAAATGAAAGGAAATGAAATGTCTAAATGAAAGGATAACATCCTTACCACCTGCACTTACAAAGTTTGATTTTGTAAAGAGTATAGTGCATGCTTTAGGAAAGAGACTAGGAAGATGAATAGCTTGACTGATATGAAGGTCTGTTATTCAACTGGACAGATATCTGAATTAAAGATGGAGGGCAATAATGTCCTTGTGAAAGATTATAGATGGAAAATTTGCCCTTCTTCCTTACTATCAATCATCCCCTCACACAGTGCTTAACAGCAGTATAAAGGGATGAAAGACTACTGGTGACTCAAAGCAGGAACCCCTTACCTGCACAGGTGAACAGGGATTTCTAGAAAATGACTGATCTTTTAAGTACTGTATCGTACATGAAGGCCATCACAACACCATAGATTTAAACAGAAGATAGGGATGGAGATCCCGGTAGCAATTTTATAAATCCCAGGAAAGAAACGCATTGCTTAGTGATGCAATAAGACTGCCTCAGCTGCTAATATGTACTCCGTATGCCTGGTTGCAGGTTGCTCCATCTTTATCTTAAAACAGGTCCTAATATAGTCAATAATCCAGCCTGTATCAAGATAACTGTTATCTTGGATATTGTTACTACATACAAGAAACAGAAATGGTCTTCCTACATGACAGTTGACCAATACTTGGTAATTCAGGTGTAGAACATCATATTTAGAACTACGATGCTCCGCAAAAAAATTCCCAGACAGGCCGAAGTGAAATTCAGAAACCAACTTTCATGTTTCAAAGGAACTTTTGAAAAGACTTGTATACTCTCCTTCTCATATTCAAACATCTGCTCATAATCCTTTGTGGACAAATGTTAGAAAAATACAATTCTCTTGCACATGTAGTTTGGTTCCATACAGCAATTTAGTAGTGTGCATAATTTCTCTAAAAGATGTGTTCTGTGTTTCTTATATAACACGTTGACCTCAATTATGCTTTGAAAACTTGCGTAACACACTATGTAACAGGAAATCACAAAATTGTTCATTAAGTTCCAGCAGGTCCTCTTTGTTTCTGTGTATCAATCCAGAACCACCTAATAAAAATCTACTCCTATGAAATCTCTGCTTAGGAAAGTATGTATCTGTCAACTTTAATTTAATTTAAGATTATCTTTGTCCTCTTAGTTTGCATCACAATGAGTTTTTCAATATAGACTTTCCTTCATTGTACACAACTCCTACTGAGGCAAATACATGCACCTCTATATAGCTATCTTTATCGATCAGTTTCTTCAGAAGTCTTGTTTCACTAAGCTTCAACTTCATTATGAATAAAATAAATATTCTATAAATATTTTTCATTTTCCTTGCAGTATCTTCCTGACGAGAGTCTCCATTTTCTTCACATTTTAAAAGAAACAGTAACTCCAGAAGCTAATGTCTGACAGATACAGTTATTGTCAATCAGATTATCTATTGCCTAATATACTGCTGGAAGTACCACAATGGCAATATAAAAGACTATAAAAAATTAAAAAAAGAAACCACCTACAAAAGCAATGAGATTACACACAGGAAATGTGCTTTAATGGGTCAGGCTTTGAAGATCTTGTTTTGGAAGGCTCTCATACTCCCATGCACATAGAAATTATAGCTACTACAGAAAACATGAAAGTGTTTGTCTTCATATAATTTGCAGACTCTTCCTGCAGAATTTTTTCAATTTATTCTATTTATACCAGGTTAAAGATGCCTGGCCAGTATTTCAGCCAGGACAATCAGTATTAAATCAGTTTATAAGACTAAGATTTGAATTACCATGCTTAGGATTTACACCATAAACGTGTGGAAAAACTGGTGTAGCTCACAGCTCTGGCAGCTGCTATGTTAACTATTGGTAGTACTTCACTGATTCATTTCATGAATCTTTTCAACAAAAATGCATTATCTAAAACTCAATTCATTACCTTGCTCCTCACTCCAACTAAAAAATGCCCCAAGACACTGAAGAAACACACTGAATCAATGCTGTAGCAGTGAATATTCAGCAGATAATTTGTGATTCACAAATTAGTGTTAATAGCCAGTCCAGACACTGTCTGATGTAAAAAAATGTTTTTCTAATAATACCTCTGAAATTTTGAGATGTTAAAGGTGAATTTGATATACACAAAACCTCATATAGCTAAATATTATGTCTGATATAAACTGGTCTTTACAAGTAATAAAATTGTGGTTTTCATAAAGATGCTCTGTGAAGGAAAAATTCAGGAGGACTATGCAGAAAATATTTAAATCATGTAATCTTCAACCTACTTTTATGTGACTTGCACATATTTGTACACTATGCTTGTTACAGGTTTTGAAAAATTCTATAGAACAAAATATTCAGTAGAGTCAAACCCTTTAATTGTGTTTTAGTCATTAATGGGGTGAAACGCAAACATAAACAGGACTGAGGAATTTCTTTGCTACCTTAACAGTTCCTGGTATTCCAATTCTACCTCACATTTTCTTTTTCTCAAAAAAGAAAAATTATGGCCTAATTCAAGAATAATTTCTGAACAACTATCAGTTTGATTAAAGAGAATACTGACGTTTTCTTCAGCCATATGCCAAATTCACTCTTGGCATGAAATTATCTCCGAAGAAACCATCAGCATAAGAGATGGAAACCCAGGCAGTCACAGTAAGTATCCTAAACACTGCCTGTGAATGACGGAAGTCAACTAATGTTCCTTCCAAAATTAACGTTGCCCTAGTATGTTATATTCTTCTGAAAAATTAACTATTCTGACAAATCTTGTGCTGGTCCAATCTTGATCACACAAAGGAAGAGAGCTACTTAATGCAAAGACCCCAACTAGAATCTTTCAGGTCTATGCTTTATAAAAGAAAGATAAAACTTAAACTAACTAGACATAAACACAGGTCTAAAAACATGAGAAAATCCAATGGATAATGATACCTCTAATATTTTATATAATCCTCTATTAAAAGGGACAACATACACTCATTACATAAACTAGTGCAAAGGAAAAAGATAATTTAAGGGAAACGGGAAGTTTGCATTGCATTTGGAAGATGCCAGCTTTTACCAAAGACTTTTGGTACGTATATAAGCTCCTTTCAAATTATTCATTGACATTTTTTGAGCCACATTCATACCATTCAGGATCTGCTTCTTGACATACAGTAATTAAACTGAACTAATATAATATCAGATAATCATCCTGAGACTTTTGATTCAATCGTATCACTGTTTTCCTCTAGAAAAATGAGTATTTCTGTATAAAATTATACAGAAAGCCTAGCTGCATCAACTCACATGTAGTATGTGTGTTTTGGGATTTGAAGAGGCCAACAACACCTTTTCCATGAAAGCCCCCAGATCTAAGTAGAAGAGTACTGTTTTTAGTGTTCTTCCAACAGACAACTGGTAGGCGATTGTGACGGTAACAGCGAGCAACTCTCTGCAGACTGCTGTCTTGAACAGACTGAGGTACTACCAGAAGCCCAGGATAACTGTATTGATAAAAAGGTGAAGAAAATTGAAAATCAATTAAAATTGCTTTCAAAATTTTAAACAATGAAAAAAAATTCCTAAGATTACAAGCTGAATATACATCTTAATGAAAATACACCTCGTTAGAATTTTTATTTAGTAACTCTCATTTTTGTCCAATTCTAGCAAATACATTAATTTGTAAAGAAAACTGCATTTTAAAAACAACTTTAATTATGAAAAATTTGTAAGACTATCACTACTAGTCTCTTTCTGTTTAAGGTTATATTTTATTTGGTAATATTTTTCTTCTTAGTATATCTCTTACCTGTCACTATAACGAAGCCATATTTTTAAGCATGACAGAAAAGAGAACTTTTGAGGCATGCAAATGATGCAGTAGTTTTGTTTTGTTTTGACACTTGTATATGAAATATGATAACTGAAAGGAAAGCATGTTAGATTGCCTAAAGTATCGCAACTAAAACAATAGTTTTTGGCTTATGTCAAAATACATGTAAATTTTACAGTCCGATTCCTTTGAACAGTGTATTTGAAAATGCATTTTTATGTACTTTTTAAAACACTACAATATATTGAGAGACTAGGAAATTCACTGATACAATAGCTTTAAAAATAGAAAACCCAGCAAGATGGTAGTGGTGTTCATGTTAGTGAAAGAAGGACTCAAGCAATATGAAAGATTATTTTCTATCTCCTGCAAAAAATATTCAATTTAAGTACCAATTTCATATGTTAAGAAGAAGCCAAGAGGAGAAGCAGGGAAAAGTGAGTTCTTACTAAACAACCTTGTTCCTCTACAATGTACACTGGTTCTGTAAATTCAGTTCTTTGACATTTGTTGAACTGCCCTCATGCAAAATCAATGTACATAATATTTATGGTCTACTTCTTAAAACACAGTAACCAAACTAATATGGCACTAGATAAGTATTTATACCCTGAGATCTGTACTCCACTCGGATACTAATTATCTTTTCAAAAAAATCCTATAGAATATTGAAAACTGGTGGTTGTAGGGGGGGTAAGAGTTGTCTGCATAATGTTCAAAGCATAATCACAGTATTCAAAAAACGTGTGGATGTGGTGCTTAGGGTCATGGTTTAGAGGTGGACCAGGCAGTTAGGTTAACAGGTTGAGTTCGATGATCTCAGAGGTCCTTTCCAACCTTAATGATTCCGTGATTCTATAATGAAAATGTACAGATTTAATGCCTTCACCTGCATTGTACTCAATGGTGACTGAACAAAACCAGGTATTAGTCTGTTACGCTAAATAAGTCAGAAAACAAGAAAGGATCTAGTATTTTCTTGTGCGCCATTCTTCCATGAAAAACTGGCGATTTCATTATCCATAATGAAAGCAATGACTAGCCAAAACTGGCTTTAGAAAATGCAAATGCTCTTCTGATATGACTCATGCAGATATGCTTTTATATTAAAAAGAATTTTTGTGGGTAGTGGTAGTAAACTACGTCAGCTTTCACAATAAAAAAGGAGTTAGTAACATTCACATTTTAAAACACAGCACGTGGCGTTCAGCACATGACAAACTTTTAAAGTAGTGTAGATACCTTCACGAATTCAATCTTAAAAGCTATTTTTTATTTGAAGAAGATAGTTATGTATAATTGTTTCTGAGGCTTGCTTTTTTATTTAGGAACAAAATAGATTTTTATATGCAAATATATTACACAAACAATTTCCAGTGGCATCACAGCAAGTTACAGAAACCATGCTGAGAGAGGGAGTGCTACCAAGTAACTTTATTGGCTAAGTCAGAAAGCTGAAAAATAGCCTAATGATTTAGACATCAGTGTAGAAAGCTGAGAGAAACTCCTTCAAAAAGGCAATTCAGAGTTTCCTGCAGAAGCCCCAGGGGCACTCTCTTTCCATGGGCTATAGAAAGAGCCTAGGAAGGAAGACTTGTGTTGTCTGACAGAGCTTCTGGGGCAGTTGTGAAAACTCACTTCTGGCTACCATTGCTGGCACTGTTTTTGAATCTGATGAATACATATGCAGCTACCAGAAGACGAATCTCTGAGTGGAATACAAATAGCTTCAAGGTCACTGGTTGAACACTCCTACTGTAGATAAAATTTTTCTCAGAAAACGTTACTTAAACAGATACATCATGTAGTATGTGTGTTACGTCATCTTTATTTTCAACTACTTGACTGAATTGGTAAACTCACCTCCTGCAAAGTGAATACATCCTGTTCAGTGCAGTTATTCTTAAGTATTCTGTTTTTGAGCGAGAAGAGTTACTACTGATGGTCCCTAGTCCCAAACGTTGATAGTCTCTGAAACAGGCTCTTTCTACTAATTGCTCCATTGTTGATTTTTCCGATGCTTTTAGGGTACCACTTGTGTGCAGCTCGCTGTCATCTGAAACTAAAGTTAAAAATCTTTAAGAGTTTGCTCTTGGGGAGGCCAGAAGCTACACAGGAAATTATGCTATTTTCTTCTGAACAAAATATTAGTTTGTCTTACTGTCAGTGATGAATGACAAGAACTAATACATACAAACCACAGTTTATAGAAATTATAAGCAATAAAATAATATTTTAGTCAGGAAACCTGAATATATCTCACAGTTACCTAATGCACTTGTGACTGGCATGGCTGACAATTCTCTTGCTAAAATCTTGGAAAAATTTATCTCATATATTCATTTGAACTGAACCAAAGGCAGATAATCTTTCTTTCAACAATTTATGAAAACCTGTTAAACTCACAACTGTTTGTATACAAAGATGTATACAAGACAGAATAATGAAAAATGTGCACAAAAATTCTTTAAACATCCAAGATAAAATGGACTTTGCCATTCTTTTAAACTATCTTCAAAAGATGTAACAATGTTTTTAAGGCTTGGTTCAAATAAAAAAAAGTTTGTGTGTCATAATTTCACAACAGATGACTGTTGGTTTCTTAATGCCTCAGTTTCAATGTCAAACAGCAGCTTCCTTCAGCCGTGCATGTCAGCTGCACTTTCCAAAGCTGAAGAACCTTTAATCATGAGAGATAAAAACCATGTCACAAGTGCAAACTACACTGAAATTCAAGTCAAGCAAGGTCTTTGTACAAAACCTGCCACCTGCCTGTTATTGACACTTCCAACTATTTCCAAATACTTCTGAAAGCAGATTTACTGTTCACAGCATGTATCAGTTACTTGCTACCTCAAGCATTGAAATATGTGCGTATGAGAGGAAGTATTTCTTCATGAATGAGGCACTGAAAAGTATATAAGGATTTAAACTTAAAACAGGACTTTATACAACTGGAAATTAAAATTATTTTAAAAAATAAAAATTATGATACAATTAAAATTTTACTGGCAGTAGACAACATTCAGAATTTACAGGAGCAGAACCCATATACATTTTTTTTTTTTGTGCATCTTAGCATAAAAGCTAAATTAATAATTATATTGCCCCTGCAGCTCATCAAACAAAAAACCCAATTCTCTATTTGACCTAAATAATAGAGAGTTAAATGCTGTGGATATCTCCTTTTTTCTGTTTTTTCATATTTGTCATGGTAAGAAAGTAGTTACAAAACATTCACAAGTATGAAATGCACTAACGAGAAACAAATTAAATGAGTTTTAGAAATAATTTTATTTTGGGGCATACAGAAACTTGGTATTTAACAGTTTTGAATGGAAAGCTATAACTGACTCAGATAAGATCAGGGTGCATTTTTTAGAATACTTTTTTCTAAATGCATTTTTCTCCCATGAAAACAGGTATATTGGTGATCAGAATTTGCAAAACATTTCCCTGTGCATAAAAAGCCAGAGATTATAAGAGCTCATATCAGTGCCCTTAACCTGAAGAGGGAGATGAAGATGTTTTGCTGTCTCAAGTTTAAAATGGATTTTTATTTTTTTAATTTGATTTTGAAAAGAAGAGCAATAATCCATTTATTTTACTGTTCCTGAGATATGACTGTTTGTAAAAGTGGGTTTTACAGTCTCCTATTTTACCGAACACCTATAGGAAACAGAAATTAGTAGTGATGAGATTCTAAACTCTGAAAATAAAAAGATGGGGAGGAATTGGAGGGAAATTAGGTGTTCATTGGCAACAACTAATAACCAGAGCACTGTGCCCAGTTTCAGAATTCACATTGCAGGTTATACGTGGACCAGCTAAAGAGGACTGAGAACAGAGCAATGAAGATGATCAGAAGTCTATCAAGACTAATAAACAAAGAACTGAAAGAACTGCAGATATTTAATATCAAGAAGAGAACAGAAATATTACAACAGTGCATAAATGCATTAAGCACTGCAATCAGAATAAAGGGAATCATCTCTTCTATATGTGTATGGTGGCAAAATAAGAACTGAAGCTTTTAAGTTGTGGCAAGGAAACGTTTAGGCCTGAATATCAGAAAGTTGCTTGTTTTTCTCCAGCATTAAGGATGATTAAAGCATTAGTACAAATTGCCTAGAGTTATGGAACCTTGATCTTTGAAACCTTCTAAGAAAAAGTTAGGTAAACACCTATGAGGAACAGATTAAGTATGTTGATCTTGCCTTGGGGCAGAGAGATAGCGTAGATGATCTCTTGAAGATCCTTCCAACCCTATCTTTAACATTTCTTTTTTAAGACAATGCATCACCTGCTGCAGATAGTTCCCGTTTGCTTCATTGATGGTATAGTTGCATAGTTTCCTATATTTCAGTTTTTGAGACTTCCAAACAAAGTCATTCACAGCAGTCAATATAAAATAAATAGCAGTGATTAAATGGCAAATTTCCTGTGGCTATTTGTACTCTGTCTGAAGCAAAGAGTTATTCTTGTTGTCAGCTGACCATATCTGAGGTGTCAGAGCAGCATGGAGAGAAAAGCAAACTGTCAGACTTTGATCACCTTACACCCTCCCAGTCAAAACATCTGGAAAGCAGCAGGTAGGAAGCCTCACAAGTTATACTTTAATATTTTTGTTAGGGGAGGAAAAAGTGACCATCACTAATGTTTATATAACACCTGTGTTCATGGAAGAATGTAGTTGTTTTGTACATCAGCAAAAACTCTTAACATTTCTTCATCGTCAAGAGAAGTACGAATACACAAGTATGATTGTGCTTGGTGTCTCTGGGTGAAGGACACAAAATCACCCCAAAATCACACAGGTACAGCCTGCAGAATTGTTTCTGACCCAAGGAATCTGCAACATCAGAACGAATAATAACTCAGCACTTAAGGAAGATGCTGGAAAACCAATTAAGAACATAATTTTTCAGCACTGTAAAGATATTCTGTATGTTGTTAGCCTTTCTTTTTGCTTTTTTTCCACCACTTCTATCTGGAATGAAAGAAGATAATCAGTATTTTTTAGCTTTCCTGGAATGGCTTTCTTCCATTTCCTTCTGAGAGAACAGAGACAGTGCAGTAACACAGTCCTGCTTCAGACAACTTTTATATATCTGCTCATAAGTCACATAAGTTGCCTTGCTCACTGACCAAATATTCAAAAGGAAAATTTGGCTTGTTTGATGTTTTGAAGAAATTATTAGTGTTTGATAAACACTTCATTATCTGAAATGCCTTTTTTTTTTTAAAAAAAAAAAGAAAGAATGGTATGACAAAACAATACCTGTTTATGTACAGGAGAATCTGGTTCCCTCTAGTGGTTTATTATAAATTAGCACTGGTCCAGATAAGGATATAATGACAGCGGCACATGGTAGGAAAAGAAGTATTTGGAAGAAAGTCAAACTCCACACCATCACACGAACTATACAAAGTGCCCAAATCACTTTCTACATTCTGTCCCCAAATCCTTTCAACCAAAATTTGGAAAAATGATATTTTCAGTAGTAATGACTTCTGCTGCTTTCAGAAATCATTTGTCACTTCCACATCCACAAAAGTCTCCCATAGTATTTGCTCTTTCTTGAATCTCACCAGTTACTGCTTTCTCATCATAGACTAATTGCACATGTCATGATGTCTAAAGAAAAATGGAAGCTACAGCATGCTTCTGTGCTGTTTCATCTACACTATTATGATGTAAAAAATGATAAACAAGTTACTATATGCAAATAGTTGGATAATTAAAAAATAATAATCTAGTATTTTGCTTTACCACTGAATGAAGTCAACTTCCTCTTTTGCCTCATCATCACAAAGGAAAACACTTATTAAATGTACACATTTGAAACCTTTCTCTTTCCTGTCTAGGAAGACTCTGCAATTTCTTCTTGAAGATATTACTTATTCAATATATTGGAATGGAAGCATTATAGGATAGACTTTTATCAACCAACATGGAAAAAAAATGTTTAACTATTACCAGAGATATCATCATCTTCATTCCAGCCTGGGCGATTCACTCTTTCTTCCACTATTGTGCCTGTCTTCTTCTTTAATAAATATTGGCGTCCAATTGTCATCTTCCCAGCACGTTTTGCTCCTTTCACAATGCTTTTTGAGAAGGTACTATAAATTCATAGCAACAAAAATATTTAGAAAGATGCATATGATTCTTCCTGATAGCATGTACAGATTTTTAGGATGAAGCCACTTACTCAAATGAAATGTATTTCATAATTTTTCATTTAATATAATGACAAAAATTATAACCTCCAGAAAAATGACCTCCTATATTAATTTTAAACACCAATTTTATTATTTTGAGGCAAATTTTTGTCTATTATGTCTAATGGTAATGAATAAGCAGCCATCATCTTTCTTTAGGTATTTGTATTTTGGTAGCAATGTGATAAATCTACAAAGCTGACAAAGTAAAGGCAGGAAAGATAGAAATTACTTTAAAGTTTTAGGATTTCATTACTAGCTTGGGATTCTACTTTCCTATGTCAACAATGCAATAATCAACAGAGAATCACAGGAACTATCACTCTGGAACAGACTAAAGATCCATCTAGTCTAGTAAATATTAACGTGTAACATAAACTTCAAAAGAGGACCCAAAGCTCAAACTCTGCATTAAAAAACACTAGGACAACCGTACAGACTGTACTAAGGGTAAAATTAATTCTAACCCATATGAGGTTATTAACCTATAAAGTAATACACAAGAAATCTGGTTTTTATGTTGGCATAGTTTGCATAGCTGAAGATTGTACTTACATTGTATGTTTCAAAATGTAATGAGATGATTGTTCAAATTTACTGCAGCCAGATATTTGGATAAATAATATATTCCTATACCAAACTAACATGTATATCATACTAATCTACCTTTTATTCAGTAAATATAAAAAGATGCAGAATAGCAATCGGTTATTCTGACTTTCTGAAAACTGCTTGAATGATCTGCATTTTTGCAAAGCTGTCAGACTGTTCAAGGTATTTGACTAATACTAAACAAGAACATCAGTAATAAAAGAAGAATGACTATACCGGAATGAAGTGTTCTTTTCTTTTTGTTTTGGTAAAATTATCTGTGGTGCTGTTTGCCCAGCTGCAAATGCAAAAGTGCTGAAGATAGATTGAGGATAACGGAACTTCATTAACTGTTTCTTAAATATTTCCACCACTTCAGGACTTACTTCTTCATCAAATGCTACTTTAATTAACTGCATATTAAAGACACGACAGGTTAGAAACTGAAAAAAATTACAGAATTAAAGAAATGAAAAGATCCTAAAGTATATTAGCAAAATTCCCATACTTATGCAGTACTATGCCCATTGGAAAATACAAATGTCTGTACATATATCCTACTGATTTTGAGGGATATTGCACAGCTTATTAATTTTTTATTTATTTTTTACATTTATGTCCTAATAGTAAGGTATTTTCACTAAGAAGCATCTGGAATTCTCTTAATATCAAACACAAAATATTTTGGTAAATCCAAGTAGTAGTGCTGGCACTGAGATGTCTACAACAGCTCAAATACTAGTCACCTGGGATAGCTTAGCTTGGAAACATTCTGCCAGCTCTGCCCATATACTAGGAACTAAGGTTGGTAATGCACTTCAAAGACTCTCATCAAACCAACATTCAAATGTCACAACCATTATAGTTCCATTACTTAGTCATTCCAATTTTTGCCTCACCTTGTGAAGTATAGAAGACTGTTAATAATAAAAATGTAATAGTGAAATCTGATCCTTAAAAATCTTGTGCTGTTCAACACTGATCCATCCACCCCACTAAAAATGCTTTTTGAAAGGTTTTGAAAAAAAAACAACAAACAAACAAAACCCATCCCATCATCCTCAGCCAAAAGGATGACAGTCAGCAATTTGGGGTTGTCGGGGGGTGGGGTCAGGGAAGAGAGAGAGAAAATAGGGAATCTGTAAAAGGGCCCAAAAGAACTTTAGGAATGTCCAAAAAGCAAACGAAGAAATATCCTAGAGCTTTATTTATGAGTGCATACCTATACATCTTTTGAATGTCTTTGGTTTGCCATCTAGAAGGTGGATTTCAGAATTGCTTTTTTAATTTCACTTGTTTTGTAAATACTTTCCGAATGACTAATAACTCTGTTATTCTAGGACCTCCTTGAAAGCAGCTCTTGAATCTTCAGGGGTTATACTGATTTGAAGTTTTAAAGACATTAAATAGCGTAAGTGCAGCCAAAACCTTCTGAAAGTCATCATTAATAAACAAAGAGGAGAGGCTATTTCATACTGTACTGAACTCTAGCTGTTACAATGGGAGCAGAAAGTAAACTGTTTGCTGATTGTTTTTGTTTTCATAACCTAATACAAAACTATGCTAAACAAAAGCAAAGATGATGTTTGACTGAATCCAGCACTAAAAACACTGAGCTGTGTCTGTATTTAGCACATCGTTGAAGCATGCTAACTATTCTGGTAAATAAATTTCTGGAAAATAAAAGTCTTCACGAAGACCTCTTGAAAGTCCACAAGAACAACTTTCTTTCAGTTGTTTTACTCACTTGTATTCCTAATCTTATGCTTTTGAACAGGACATTGAAAGATGACTAGCTAAATAATATGCATTATTGTAAGGAGATAGTAAAATGCTGATGATCTATTTTATTATGTTTTCAAATGTTAGAGTTCTTGTTCTCAATGAAAATATACTTCTGCAGTCAGCCAACCCAAGAAAATATTTCTTAAGTACTGCAGTCTACTTTCAAGTCCATGATACAAAATTCTTTGCCTTCAACTTTCCATCTCTTAGGGTTTGACCACAGTTAACATCACCACCAAGAAGAAACATTTAGGGAAGACTTCAGAGGCTTCATGATTTCTAACTCTTGTAAGTCCATCTCTCTCAATCGCCCTGCAGTACATGCTTCTGCTGAACACACTGAGGGGGATCCTACAGCCAGGGAGCTACCAGGATCTGTGCAGAAGTCAGGAAACTACCAGGATCTGTGCAAGTCATACGGAGGCTCATTGGTTCTAGCCAATGGTGGCTACTCTAAAGATTCCTGGAAGTGCAGCTTCCCCGTGAGACGTACCATGACTTTCTGCCATGGATTTTTACAGAAGGCTGGTAAAGTGACAAATCTTGAGACAAAAGCAGTATTTAGAGCTTCTCCGTATTCATTCCATGTAGCTAGAGGAGAAAGAAAGCATGTTTCCACTGGCCTGCCTAGGCCTCTACTAACATTAAGAGATTTTGGACCAAAAATAGCCCTTTACTGGATCCAAAATAGAAAGGTGAGGAAAGGAGTGAAACGAATCAAACATGAAAATGGTAACCCTCCATAAATATCAGCTGGGCCAAGAAACACCAGGGTTTCTATGACAGGACTGCATTCTTTATTGACTTTACAGCGCAGAAAACTGAACTCTTCACAAATATCAGGACAAAGTGATGTTCATAAGTATTTTGAGCTGACTGTGTTGTCGCACAAATTTTTATAAACTTCCTTTTACCTGAAAGGTAGCTGAAGTGATCTGCAGTCCTTCCTGCATACTCTGCTGCAGCTGGTTCTGTATAGTGATCTTCTTCTCCTTTGTAACAGATGCAATAGGAAAGCTCCGGATCACTGTCTGCTCTCCAACTGAGGATGATAAAATTGTATTTAGAGATACTTGTTAAATCACAGAATCAGATCTGGTTTGGTCACATTGTACTTTTACATTGAATGAGTAAGCACAAAGCAACATGAAAATAACAGTACAGAATTAATTTCAGGCAAAATACCTGAAAAGTTGGTAAATTCCTAAAATACTATTTGTCATCTGAACTTCTGCTTAATTTCAGCTGGGGTGATTAGAAAAATGTTCTCTTTCCATCTGAGTCTTTCTACACGATGGAAATGCACCCCCAAAATCTAGGTTGGTAGGGGGTGAAGAAACAGTTTCAAGTTTATTCCAATTACATATTGCATTATATGACTTACAAACAATGAACAATATACACTGATATCTTTACATATGACCATGAACTTTCCACAATAAATTTATACTTCTGAATGACAATCTGCTTAGAAATGGCAGATGTCAAAATATGAAAATTTATCATTCAGAAGAGCTATTTCCATTACATATTAAAAAGAATACTGAATTTATTAGGGAGAATACTAACTCATTAATATTTTTCATTTAACACACTTCCAGTGGCTGAAAAAAAACCTGTTCAATGAAAAGCTAGGGGTAGTGGAAGCTGCAGATCTCACACAGTATATATGTTCTCTCTTAGTGGTGAAGCAGCTTACAAACGTTGCTCTGTAAAGCAGCATTACTAGACCAACTTTACAGATGGAACTGAGATATAAAGACACTAAGCATTTTGTCCATTCGAAACAGGAAGTCTATGGAAATTACTGAAGTAGTCAGGAATGTCCTTATTTTCTGTCTCCAACTTTAGGTAGTCTGTAAAAGCCCATAATACCATGTGACATTCTACTGATGTTTCCTCTAAGACAAGTACATATTATGATTTTATATTACATAAATTACTGAAGACAGCACTCTAAATATCTACCAAGACGCAGGAATAAACAACCATTTGGCACCTCATGCCTCATCTGAAGACGTAAGTTCTATTAAGTTAAATGCAAAATCAAAATAGATCATTGTCATATCTAGTGATAAAAAAAACTATATTAAGAGATTATTGCTATCTGATCAACATGAAAAATTATACTGTGAGGTATATACATTTTGATGTTGATGCTTGAATAGGTAGATAGGCCAAGCTCAAAGTCCTGCCTATCTGAAGGACCACAATTATAACTGTGTAATTTTTCTTACCCAGTTGATCATGAGGAGTGCCTTTAAATATAATTCTGTAAGTGGTAAGGAACAAAGCTCCTTCAGCAGGGAGGATGTGAGGACCTCCAAGCAGTCCTCCTGTAGCTTCCTCTCTGCCATCAGGATCCAGCAGTACACGGAGACCTTCACAAACAAATTCTTCTCCTGGCAGTAAAGTTGGTCGTAGAATTTTGGGCTGACGCAAAGAGATGAAAGTGTAAGTGTAATGGCAATACCAGTGTTATACCTCAGTCTAGTTATAATATTTGGCTTAAAGCGCTTCAAAACAAAATTGTTATGAGACTAAGTCCAAAGAAGGGAGACAAGAGTTTGGACTCAACTAAGAGAAATGGGTCTCAAAAAACAGTAGGCATGCAACAGCTTGTTTATGATCAGAAGTTTGGCTCTACTAGTTTCATAAGTTCATATTTCATGAGACCAAAGCCAAGCATTTTATTTATCACTGGTGGAAATTTTCTTTCAACGTTTTGATGTTTCCTCCTGACATTATGAGGGGGAAAAAAGATGACTAAATTGCATGATTCTAGTACTTGTAAAGAACACAAATATGTTTCATAATACTTGCCTTCTGTATTGGTGGAAGCCGCCTACTCTCACGATGGACAGCCTCCAGTGTCTCTATGTGCATTGCTACAATGCCTGGAAAGCAGTAATACCATAAATGAAGTCTCACATAATATGAAAGAGAAAGTTGCAATCTAATTAAAACTCTGATATTCTGAAATTCTCAAATTTAAAAACCAAGGGAATAATTATTTGAAATTCAACAGCAATTATAGTCTAGAAAAGAAATCTAACCTTCTAACTTCACCGAAAGTAACTGAATCTAAAAAGTGTATTTCTCTCACTAGGAAAAAAAAAGAAAAAAGAAAGACTACAAACCACTTTTTTTTGTCACAATTCTTACCTGGTATCATGCAATGAAGACCCTTGATGTGATCCTGTGTAACTCCGCTCTCTGTGCAAACCTTGTCAATAAATCTTGTGATGAAGCGTACAACTGCGTTTGCAACATCATTGTTCTCAGAGTCCTCAAATCCACTTTCAGTGTCATAACTCTCTGCAACACTGCCTGCAATACTACGGACATAAATAAAAGAAATTTCAAGTGTGAAGAATTCAGCTGGTGATGCACATATACCTGGCTAGAGACAGACAAGCTGTGTTTATTTTTTCTAGTTACAATACATAAACCTTGCTAAAAGCATATGGTGGTACCACAGTTACGCCATATTTTCACTGTCATTAACGCTGTCAGAACTGCATGGAGAACTTTTCCTCCATGATTCCAGTGTAGACAGGACCACAGGAGAAAAAAAGCTGCTGGGAAGTGAGCTCTATGTGTTCTTTTCATAGAGTCAAGTACATTATTTGCAACCCATGGAAAACAAATATCCAGTTACATACAGAAAGATACATTAAATTAATATTTTGGTTGCAGAGCAAAGCATTCAAAAGCTAGAAAGCCCAGAAGAAAAATTTTTTGTGCATCAGACAGAAAATGCAAGTCAGTGGGAGATGTACTTTGAACATCTAAAAATGCCTCCCACAATAATATTAAGGGCCAGATTCACACATTGCAACATATGCTGCAACCCGTCTACTGAGCATGTCCTAATGCCTGAGTTTAGAAGTGTTTAGTCAGCAGAAATGAGTAGCCATGGGGAGTTTTACATTGATAGCCTGCCTATCTTTTACTTGATGTCAGTGTTCTCATGCAGTGTTCTACAATTTTATCAGGTGGGAATTCTGATGGATCATAGGTGATAATGTAGACAATAAATAGAGAGGGAGGAAGGCTTGTTATGAAATGTCCTGGATTTGCACGCTAGGGAATGTAACTGGTGTTATACTCCTCCTGCCTCCTTAGTAATTTAATCTTTGCCACAGTGGTTTAGCCCTCTTGGTTTTTGTGACCTCAGTGCCTTTCCTCCTTGCAGCTGTTGCACAGAAATTTTATGGATGCTATGCAAATGCTTTCCTGATTTTAGGTTCATACACTGTTTTTTTCAAGTCATATAAAAATTAACAGAGTAGTTTTTGGGCTGCTGTTTTCTTTCTCATCATACCCTATGCTTGTCTTCAACGTTTGCATTACTAGATTAAAAATTCTTACTGTGACAATAACATTTTTATGTTCCTTTAAATAGTGGTAAATCACTCCAGATTAAGTTCTGCTATTTAAGAGGAATCAGGTTAGACTTCTGCTCTTCTTAATTAATGAACTTGAAAAGAAGAGAAGATACTGAAATAATCTGATATTTAGAATAAGTCTAATAATAAGCTAAGAATAAACTAAGAAGCTTTTGAAAACTGTGGCCCATCCTGACTGATTACCACTGAACTTGTGTACCCACCTGTTTGTGACAATACTGTTGCTTCCACTCTCCCAGTCACCAGTAGCCGATGTTCTCAATAACTTGTTCTTACTCGTATCCAGCGGTACCAGCAGGTAGACCATGAGGTTAGCAAAATGAATTGCCTGACTGAAGACTGTACTTTCCTCATTCTGGACTAGCTCCTGCTGTGTTTGTTTATTAAGAGTTGGCCATAATCGCAACTGCTCAGCAGCCAGGTCCATTGCTGTCTTATCCTGGTCTGGACCTACAGAATTTTTCTCCTAGAAGACGTATAGAAAGACATAAAAAGACATAGAAGAAATAATAAAGCTGTAACTTAAAAAACAATGTTTAGTTAAAACTTTACTTATTAAATTGTTTATTAAACTTCGGTTATTTAAATTATATATTAATTTAAAAAGAAAAAGCAAATAACTACACTCAATAGGGTTTAAGGAGAGTTATGATTATAATAACTGAGTTTTGAAGGCAGTTCATTGAAATATGCAAGTAGCACAATGCAGACAAATCTACATAACATCATTTCTTTCTACATCTTTTTTATGCTATATGATCTTCCATGTTTCTTTAGAGTGGTTTACTGATTTTAATATAGCTGCTCTCCTTAGCTTCTCTGCTTAGGTCACATAAGAACAAGCATAAATCAGATTGAGAAATAACATGCAGCTCATTGCTTGATGCAGGTGATATTCTCCAAATTCCTAGGATGGTCAGGTGAGGCAAGCTTTTATATAAATGGATTCCAGACCAGCTGAAACATTCATGTTTTCACGTGTTGGAGTCCAATTCTAGCATTTGCTTGAAGCAAACTAGGTAGACGGCACATATTCAAATTATATTATAGCCTGAGGAAATTAGAATAAAGGAATCTGGCAGCTGATATTAGTGACCTAATGCCTGATGTTAAATTATTAAAGGACTAGGTATCTTGTAAACGTTTTTTCCATACTAAGTTAAAGCTGAGCTAATTTTCCATATAAACACATGTGAGGGTTAAAGTAGATGCTTCTTTGTAAGTTCTACTACTCTTCACATTTATCTTTACATAGTGTCAGATTGGAAGGAGGTTCCCGTACACAATCCCACAGTCCTTTTCTCTTTATCCCTGCTACGTCTGACATGCCTTTTCAGTTCTTCATTCTGACTACATTTCTGGGAATATCTCTGTCCATTTTACTTCCTCTCTTTACAATGCTGTATGACTCTGTGTAGCATACGCTTTTCAGTCACATAGTTGATAATGATATTTTCATACAAGAAGAGAGACTACAAATGGCTCTTTACTATGTGTATGTGCTCCTTCTTAAAAAAAAATATTAAAAAATCTTATTTTAGATTGCTGCAAGGCTTCCCATTATGCTTTCATTTTTGCATTAGAGATGTACTTTCTTCCTCCTAACACAGACAATTTGTGTTCTGGAAGATCTGTCCAATTTTAATAAAGCAGACTGAGTGCCATTCAACAGAAACCACCCTAGGGTTTGGTAATAATCTAGCACTGGACACTAGAACTGCTGCTAGCATAGGTTGTTCACATAACAGAACTGTCGCTAGTTTATAACATTGCTATACGATAAGTTACTACTCTCAAGAAAAACATATACCTTAAAGTGAGGAAAATTATACAAAAAGTGTTTGTTTGAAAAATCAGAAAAGCAACATCAAATTATAATGCTTTGCAGATAAACGCAAATTTTTTATTATTTTTCATGTTATTGTATTCTGTTTAATATGGGAAAAATGAAAGAAAAATATGTAAAATTGGAGAAACCATAACTTAGCTCTCTATAACTCAGGGGACAATTAAAATGTGAATAAAAATACTACCTTGATATTTACTGTAATATATTCTCCTACCTTTTGTCTCAACTGTACTGCATGGTTGTCATCTTTGGCTGTAAGGTAGAGGGAGCGAACTTGATTTTGCACGTTGCTGTAAAAGGTTGTTTCCCAAAACTGCTGGTTAGTCCAGATAGGATGGTCTTGTACACAGGTGTAAGCAAACTGACTAACTCCAGGTGCTAATTTCTGAAAGCAAAAAACATGCAAAATTGACAAATTAGTCCTATTATTTAATTTCCTTTAAAGGCTATGGGTTGAGTATTGAAATCTATCTATCTATCTATCTATCTAAAATCAGTTGTACAGACTGAAATATGCAATATATGCCATCTTTTGTACTGCAATGTAAGAAAGAGAAATTATATCCAGTTTTGTGCCATTAAAGAAATTAACATACGGGAGGCTTGTATACAAGTCTAATGCCAGTGCAAGGCATGGCTTTCTTGATTCACAGTAGAAAAATGAGACTTGAGAAGAAGAATTCTGTGATGATATTACAGAACACATTTCTAATATAAAACATTTTCCTTGCCAACAAAACATAGTATTTTTAATAACCTAGTCCTACAACACAGAAATCAGTATTCAAACAGATGGAAATTATTTCTCATTTTATTTAAAAGTCAGAACTACAGTAATGAAATTTAAAATAATTGTAAGCGGCAAATGAGTCCTTCCAATAAGCTGCATTTGTTGCAACAGCAGATGATTAGATAAATTGTTCTCTTCATTGTTATCTACCGCACTGTATGACCCAAATCCAGCTCCTGAAAGAGAACCAAATGGGGTATTTTCTTTGAAGTCACAAGGGTCTGGATCCCTGTAAGGTCTCAAAAAAACCCAGAATTGTTACAGCATTACTCATTATGAATGCACCATTTTTTTCGATTAGGTCTACTTATTCAGGTGCCACTAGTCTCCCAGTGAGTTGTTTACTGTTCTTGATAACCACATACAGTGAAAGGAAATTTATTTCAGTAACTGAAATAATGAAGAATGAAATCTTATACCACACGTTCTTACTTTTTGAAAAAAAAAAGGCCACAGAAAAATTTGTGTTGTATACTGCATATAGGAAAGAAACAGGTAACCTAAATACCTGCTTATGATTATTTCTACAGTAGAACTGAAGAATAAAGTACTGGGTGCCTCATTTAATGACTTTCACTCTGAATACTACCTGTACCTGAAATATACACTATATGTAGAAGTTAAATTTTACTTTAATGATAGTGTTGCAAACCACATTCCTGTAGAGCATATATACTACTTGATTTAATATTTATAATTGTACAATTGTATACAACAGCCAGTACATATAACGCTTCCTTAGGAAGCACCCAGGCATTCCAGTGGAAGGCTAGAAGACTACAACTTAAAAATTTAAAGTCTGGTTTAGAGATTTCTGCTTTTGCAATTCTTCAAACTGTTTTCCACACTATGCTCTTCCAAGTACATCATGAACTAAAAGTTCTGATCATGTGCCATGTATTCATTCCCTATCAAAGACAAAGTCCTTTGAAAGGGTATGTTTGAGGAAATGTATGACATGCTACTAAAATTTACTCAACTGAAATACCTTCTCACGATTAACCATCAAAAAGTGAGAAATGTAAATTTTATTTAATCATGCAGAATTTCATCAAAATTTCTTGGTAACCTGTTAAGAAATTTAAATGTGTGGAAGATTCAAATTACATTAAATGTGACTTTGTTCGTTCAATACAGATTGAAACAGAAGATAGCTGGTTTGTTTAACAGATTCCCAAGTTTCAGCTGTGATGCAGTTTATGGTAGCTCACAGGAAATGATAACTGATCGCACAGCAATGGCTCCCATGCTTGACCTAGCTGTTAGATTACAGAACAGGACAGCTCAAATAGTGTCCCAGTGATCTTTGTATTCACTGCTGGGCATCCCTTGAAAGAATCTCAGGCATACAAAATGTACACTAACTTATGACTATGTCAAGTCTGTTAATTAGCAGGACAACTAATTGTACATGAAATGGAGTTTTTCAGTTGTAAAAAATGAGAAAATGTTAAAACAAAAAATATACAGGAGGACTACCTCTATCCACCTGTAAAGCTACCTCCTTTACAGTAATCTTTAGTCTTTAAGAGCTGTACACATTTCATATCTTTCACTGTTGGCAGGTGTGTATACAGCTAGCTTAAAATGGCCTAATTTGTTCAGCTGTGGTAACTAACACAGGGCCTACAGAATGGATCTGGCCCAAATCATTCACCTAACTCAAAGTCCAGATGCACAAAACTTGTGTTACAGAGGGATGGGGACAGGTAAATCATGGAATATAAATATGGACAACACATCTTGAAAGCTACAGTTACTGCTAAAGCCATATAATGACTTTTACTTGGATTTAAACTTTATTTTTTTCACTGGCAGTAATTCCCAGTTGCAATATACTGCAAAAAGGGAGTATAATGTTAGAAAAGGGAGAGAAGAAAAGGGAGAGAAGAAAAGGGAAGAAGGGAGAAAGGAGGGAAAAGGGAGAAAAAAAGAAAAAAGGTAGATGTCTGTTCAAGCCTAGCTAGTTGGTATAGTTAACTCATGCCAATTTGTGTAGTGAATGCCACACAAAGGAGTGATTTGACTTTCAACCTGTCCAGCTGCCTTGGATGCCTCAGCCCAAATCAGGTAACTGTGTAAACTAGGTAAAGAGGGGGTGATCTTCGGCACAAACCCAAAAGAAAGTTAAACTCATAACCCTGGGTCCACAGTAATAGTGTTACAGAAATAAAAATGAAACAAATGATTTTCACATGGGGACAAACATGACAGGAAAGCTGAGGGGCTTTTAGATACTCTTCCTCTGCTCATAATTTAAAACCATTAACAGTCATGTACAAAACATAATTTTTAAATGATAGAGATTTATGTTCAGATATGACGACATAAATCAACACTGACAGTAACTTCTAGGCAGAATAAAAATAGTTTGTTTACAAAAGGATGAAAGAAAATCCATCAAAAAGCTAAGCAATCATAAATATTATCCTTCTCATGACCTGCATGTGTTGAAACAAATGGCAAAACCTGATAGTGGCCAGAGCACAGAATCAAAGTCAGGACTTGTAGTTCCAGGCTCAGCTCTCCCAGTTATTTTGGGCAAAATCACTTTGGATTCTCACCTTGTTTTGGTTAGTTTGTTTGTAAAAAAGCAATATGAATACCAACCTTAAGAAGCACATACTGCTCCTATGCAGTCAAAATCCATGGATTCAAAATACTCTTGGTATAAATATAAGCATTCCATGAAGCTTGCAGTGTCTATGTTCTCTACCCTGGGAGTGCTTAGTCAGCCCGTTTGATGAGAATGGAAACTAATCTAATACATCAAAAGGGCCCCAATGTTTACTGTTGTATTCAAAGGAATTTGCTCGGGATTTCTCCAATTTAAGTAAAACAGTAGTTCAGTGTTTTTCATCAAGCAATACTACATATATAAAACAAATCTTCACCTATCTTTCCATAGGACAGCTAAACTACACTGATATTTATGTTCTTTCTCCCTGTCCCAATAATTCATTTCTGCCAGACAGAATGAACATAGGAGGCAGCAAAAGAATTTCCTACTTATAAGGGAGGATTTAAGGGCTGTCAGCTTAGAAAAGACCCCAGAAGAAAATAATAAAAATAGTTCTGAACTGATAAAGTCTTTATTCTAAAGCTGTCTGTATGATAGCTTAAATAAGCTTTGAGGTGTAAAATGTAATAACCAACAGAAAATGAGTTAACTTTTGCAAAGGACACCGAGATCTTTCCAGAGACTAATGGCACTTAAAAAAACCCCAAACATTCCCCTCCTAAATTATGTATGAAACAGACATTACCCACATGAAAATAATGAATTACATTCTACAGTTTGTGAAAACACAAGGTAGATTTGGGACTTGCTATGTGTGACTGTACACAACTTCCTGAATTCAGGAATTATCTTTCCATTATTTCCACCTTACTGAGTGGCACTGGATAATACCTGCCTAGAATTTTTTCTCTGTTTCCTGACACTGGATACTTCTGATTCTGAAAATGATACTTGTGGCTCAGTAAAAAATGTGCACCAACTCCAAGACTCTCAAACTTACTGTGAGGTGTGGGTCCCCAAAGAGCTTCTCTATGACATTGTATTATTTAGATTGCTTGTTTCTGGAAAAGAAAAGCATGCTTTGTGCTGATCACTTGTCAGTCATTATCCTTTACACCACAAAAGCTTAAAGAAGAAAGCAAAGCAAATAATCCAGTTGTTGATTGTGAAGTTGAAAGAGAGTTACAAAACAAAAAGCATAAAAAATAGAATATAAATATACCTGAGACTATGCTTTTTTCACAGGATTTTGCTGCATATCTCGTGACTATAGAAACGAAGGAGCAAACTCAACAGTACTCCATTTTTTAGAGAAACCCCATTTACTTCAGAAATAAACTGGACTTCTGTCTCCAACTTATATGCTGGGTTATTGGTTTGGATATTTTTGGTGAGAAGAGGAAGGAAAAGAAGTGGGAAGGAGGTTGCTGCTGAATGCAAAGAATAGCTTCCTCCTCAGCTCCTCAAGGAATCACTGTGCTATGGGTTATTTGCTTGACCTCTGTGAGAAAGCTATTGCAACACCTGTGAAACTACCCACCAATCTTCTCTGCATACCAAAGGAGATCACAGCACTTCCTCTCCTGTATTGGTTAAGATTCTCCCTGGAAGTCTGCAAGTGTAAGCTTATAGGTCATCCAGGACATAGCGACACTGCTACTTTGAAGGGCTACTCCCCATCTAGGAGCTGTTTATATAGACATTCAGTCAATTACCACCTATTGCATATCATGAAGAGGTACCACTTACTGCAGGCAACACACAGCCCCTGCCCAAGGCGATGTAAACAAAGTTCTGCATATGAACATATTCTATGAACCCGTCCTGCATTCAGATCTATGCGGTGCCCACACAGATACCTGGTAAGTTCAAAAAGACTTCAAAGAAGTCCCGCAGGATCAGCCTACATAGATTGACCTGCAGGAGTGAGGCTTATCTATATATTACTTGCAGATAACACTTCATCACACTGTACATATATATCAATATTTATCACACCATGCACATACTCAAGCAAGTATAAATTTATATGAGTACGTTTTCAAGTCTGGCTGAGCACTGCATGGGTAACATG